ATCCTGAGGCCGAGTCCCGCATACAGCAACTAGAAGGATGTGCAGCTACGACATACAACTATCCACTGGGGCTTTGGGGGGAAAAAAAAAATAAATAAAATCTAAAAAAAAAAAAAAAAAAAGAGTGGGGAAAGAAACAAAATGACCTGGGAAAGGTCAAATGCCAAAGAAGTCTTTAATAAAAATGATTGTAGCCATTGCATCTGTTTAAGCTTTTGATTGGTTTATTTTTTTTAAATAGAAACACATTCTGTTTCCTTACAGAAGTGTTGAAAATTAATTACATGATGTTTTGGTATGGCAAAAGCAAAGAAGTGTTTTCTTTTTCTGTTTTAACTTTCTTGATTTTCGAACTCTTAATCTTAGACAAAAATCTGAGAAATATGTCACAATTATATTGAATGCAGTTTGAATTCAATAGATAGGTGTTTGATAATGAAGTAATTACTCATTGTTTTTATAAGAAGAAATCCAGCTTACTTCATGGTTTAGGTAAGAAGTATATTGGTCTCAGGATCAGGATAGACATCAACCTTTGAACAGTCTGCCATTGATATCTTCCAAAAAAAGTTTTAAAAAATATGAGTACATAAATTTTTAAAAAAATTTTAATTGGGGCTGGCCCAGTGGCGTAGCGGTTAAGTGCACGAGCTCCGCTGCTGGTGGCCCGGGTTCGGATCCTGAGCACACACCAATGCACCGCTTGTCAGGCCATGCTGTGGAGCGTCCCTTATAAAGTGGAGGAAGATGGGCATGGATGTTAGTCCAGGGCCAGTCTTCCTCAGCATGAAAAGAGGAAAACTGGCATGGATGTTAGCTCAGGGCTGATCTTCCTCACAATAAAAAAAAAAAAAATTTAATAAAACCTAATAACCAGCCCAACTATGGTGAATTAAATCATTTTGATCTTTGGGAAATAGTTTACTTAACATTAGTGTTTAATCATTATTCTTTAAAGCCATTTTCTTTAAAAAGTAAATAAGAATACATCAAATTAAGTCTTGAAGGAAATAAATCAGAATGTCGGACAAGTGATAACTCTATTTTACAAGTTCTTTATAATGGATATATATCGAGAAAAACAAAGGACATTATAAGAAAGATTTTATGGTGACTAAAACCTTTTTGACAAGGAAAAGAGTCATTCTTTTTTGTAAAGTATCGACTGCTTTTACAGGACTGACTGCTGACGCTAGAGTAGTAATAAACAGAGCCCGTGTGGAGTGCCAGAGTCATAAGCTTACAGTTGAGGACCCAGTCACCGTAGAATATATAACTCGCTTCATAGCAACCTTAAAGCAGGTAAGCCAGTATTCCAACAGATTTCTTCAGGTTTTCTCCGTTTCCATCATTATGGGTCCTATCATGAAAATACTAGAATCACTCCAATCATTTAGTCTATTAAATATACTAAATTCCTTATTCTTTCTCACACTTACTTCATACACTGTTACTCCAGTGGAGTGGATTGATTTGATCACTAGTAGTCTCAATCAGTATCAATTCTGGGAATTACATTAAAATTTAAAAGAACAATAAATCTAATCTTTTAAGGGAATTTCTACACTTCTGGAGATATAGTAATGAGAACCATTTTTTAAAGTTTACCAAAGAAGGGCCGGCCCCGTGGCTTAGCGGTTAAGTGCGTGCGCTCCGCTGCTGGCAGCCCTGGTTCGGATCCTGGGCATGCACCTATGCACCGCTTCTCCGGCCATGCTGAGGCCGCGTCCCACATACAGCAACTAAAAGGATGTGCAGCTATGACATACAACTATCTACTGGGACTTTGGGGGGAAAATAAATAAAATTAAAAAAAAATAAAGTTTACCAAAGAAATACCCATAAGTCTGAATCCATGCGTAGATACATGGTTTGATATTAAGTATAATCTTGATGTATATAAGTATTTTTTCACTTATTATCATTTTATGTGTGCTTTATATATTTCAACATAGTCCTTATATTCAGCATTCTTTCTAGCTATACAATAATAGTGTTTCTAGTTGCTATCTGGTAATTATTTAGGTTGTTTCCAGTTTCTTTCATTTTCTCTTTCTCTCTCTCTCTGTTTGCTACTTTAATAACATTACTCTATCTTTGTCACAGCCTATATTTTTCTTTTTTGACTTATATTGTTAAATTAATTTCCAGTATGGGATTACTAGATTAGAGATTGTAATTGGTTTTTAAGACTCTTGTTATACGTAGCTAAATTGCTTTCTAAAAAGATTGAACCAATTTTTATTGTGCAACCAGCAATGCATAAATGTATCCCTGAAGGATCATCAGCATTGGGTTTTTCATTTTTCTTTTATTTTGCAAATAAGTATAACATAGTACTGTAGTAGTTGTTTTCATTTGTATTTTATAATTAGTAGAGGTTGATTTTTTTCTACATGTTGGTCTGCTGTTTTCAGTTCTTCTAGCATCAACTGTCTTTCCTTTTGACAGGCACTTTAGTGGTTAAGAATGTGCCTCTAGGAGCCAGAATTTGGGGGTTTGAATCTTGGCTTTTCTACTTCCTAGTTAGTGCCTTGGGCAAACAATATTTAGCCTCTTTTACCTCAATTTTCTTATTTACAAAATGAGCATTACAATAATACCTACTTTGTTGAGTTGCATTATGGATTAAATGATTTAATACATTTAAAGCATTTAGAACACTTTCTGGCATGGATTTTACCATTTGTCCATGTAGAGATTTTTTAACGGACTACACATTCTAGGTCTTAAAGTTTTAAATTACATACTTATAAAAAATTTCCCTATTTTGTTTTTCTTTTTAATTTAATGCATGTTTCAGGAAAGTCCAACATTTTTATATTGTTTTACTTTTCTTTTTTATTTTCTTTGATTTTCCCAGTAGTTAAAAAGGTATCCACCAAAAAACAAGGTACACAAGATTCTGTATACAAGGTTCCCAATTGTGGCTTTTAGGTTTTCTTCTAGAAATATAAAAGCTCTGAATAGAACATTTATAGAAATATACATTGTAAATCTGTAACAGTGGAGTTGCCACTGGGGAGGAACCTGGGTTCTTGGACAAAAGAGAGATATCCTTTATGTACACCTTTTGTACTTATAAATTATTTTAACCTTGTGCATGTATTACTTTTTTCATTTAAAAAAAATGGCTGATTAAGCAATAAAGTAAAAGGGTCTCTCCTCTAAGGTATATTTACAAAGCATCTACTTCATACCTCAATGTTGAACTAGGAACATTAGAAAATACAAAGGAATTAAGACATAAACCCTATTCTTTAAAAATGTATTTATGTTTATAACCCAACTATTTGCATTCAAATTTTGAGGTGGCTTATAAAGATATACATATAATAAAATTCAAAAATAAAAGTAGATATGATACATAGACAAGTCCAAGAAGAAAGCTAGTATAAAGCTGTTTCAGCCACAAAGTTACATACAGTTCCTAAAGCTGTCTACAAATGTAGTCTTGAGCTTTCTGTCAGAACTGCCTCTTTGTACAACTTCTAGAGCATCAGTCTCAGAATTAGTGTGAATTCCACTCTCTGGAGCACAAATCCAAGAAGTTCCTGGCACAACAGTAAAAAGAAATATAATTGGTTTCCAGTGTCCCGTTGTTTGTGAGGAAAAAGCATGCTTTTTCTTCAAGAGAAACAAAGGTTTCCTTGTCTTGGGACTGAAAGAAATGTCTTAGTTGGGTTTTATGTAGAGATAACTTAGTATATAGTGAACAGAATATACTTGACAATAATAGTATCAAGTAAGAATACTTGATAATAATAGTAACAATTACAGTGTCTCTCAAAGTAAACCAAGGACGTGCTTCCAAAGCGCAGCTCACTGAAATCAGCTTTACTGGGAACCAAAATGGTGTGACATACACAGTTCTCTGCTATATTAAAAAGAGTACAATCTAGTTATGTTACCAAAGTGTTCATGAAACAACAGGAAAACAATTTTAAGACCATATGTAAGCAAACTTATGATTTTATTTTACAGACTAGGTACATTAATTTCTTAAAAATTTCATCATGGATTGGAGTTAGTCCAGAAAAAGTCAGGAAGAGGATCTTAAAGATATAAAAATAAGAATTGACAAAGAAGATCATTTTGGCAGGGATACTTTATTTACTATTAGAATTTGCTATTTGGTAAGTAATAGTGTTATCCTTTGTATGGTCTCATACAGAAAGTAGTTATGAAAACATTTTATTTTTCAGAAATACACTCAGAGCAATGGACGAAGACCTTTTGGTATTTCTGCCTTAATTGTAGGTTTTGATGATGATGGTATTCCAAGATTATATCAGACTGATCCCTCTGGTACTTACCATGCTTGGAAGGTGAGTCATGAATATGTTAATATATTTTAGAAGTTGATTAAATGTATTCACTGTAAATGCTTTATCGCTTTCAGGGACATGACAAAAAAAATTATATTGCATACCAAATTTGATAGTGATACAAACTTCATGTAACCATTTAGCTAGTCAGAAACAATGATGGTTTTTGATGGGTAAAGAAACACTTTGGTTTATTAATCACAGGATCTTTTCCTTACTTTTGAGAAGATGTGACAAACTTAAGTGTATACAGTCAGAGAAATATCCAGTTCCTATTCATCATTCATTCTTCCAAATTAGTATTGCATCATATAGATGCTTGCTTTGAGTAGAAATAGTCTTTCTGCTTTTAGTAAAGAATTAAGTGAGCATTTAAACTCCATACTGAAATATTTAATGCATCCTCCATTCTAGAAGAGTCAGAGCACCCCAAAGTATGAATCAGTTATACCTATATACCTCTGTGTCAGTATGCTGCAATTGTCTTCACATAATTCCTGGAATATAGTTTGTTTTCTGGGTAAATTGTTATTCTTGTTGTAGACCCAACTACTATATTTGTTTAATGGTGCACTCAAATCTAATACAGAAGTCTAGGGTCTCAGGAAACCAGTGGCAGTTTCTAGAAGTGAATTTTTGTATATTCTCATAAATAAGACTAGACCAAAGAATATAAATGATTTTGACTTCATTAAAAGATTAAATATATAGGCTTTAAACAATTTCATGAAGAGTTTATTTTACTATTAAGATGCAAATGAATTAATGGGAAAATATTGCCTTGGTCTTTATGCTTTTATTATCTATAAGATTTGATTTGAGCTAAACATAAGATACTGTTTTATAAACCAATTAACCAGGCCAGTAAAACAATGGATTATATTCTTGCCACAAAAATCTGAATACTTGTGTTAGCTGCACATGTTCTTTTAAGCTACCCGGACAATCTAATTGGTAATCAGAAGCTATGAATTTACCTGCTGCAAATACCATTCCTTTTTTTTTGTCAGTTAGAAATCTTTTACATGTACTAGGTTTCTTTTTTTTTTTTTTTTTCAGGCTAATATAAAAGATTTTTTTTTTTAATTTTTTGTTTATTGCAGTAACACTGGTTTATAACATTGTAAAAATTTCAGGTGTACATCATTGTACTTCTATTTCTGCATAGATTACGTACTACTAGGTTTCTTATGCCTTCCCAAATCTATGCCCTAAACAAAACAAGTTATTACACACAATCTTTCTCTAAATATTTTGAAGTCTGCCATCTTCTGTTTGCATTTATCATTACCTTACCCTTCATTTCAATATAGCACAACAATTTCCAAGTTTATATAATTTTCCATTTTAATTTGGTTGTTCCCTGGGGTCATACAGAAAAGCATTTTTATTTTATTTCAAAGTCAGTTTGGAAAATATTGGAATTTTTAAATTGTTGGGGATTTCATTGATCATCTAAGTCTGAAACTGCTCTGCTATGGTGTCCTAAGGCAGTTTTAAAAAAAATCATCTATAACAAAAAACATTTGAAAACATTTTTATTTTACATATTTGGTAAGTGATACTTTTTTTTTTTTTTAAGTTCACACCACTACTTAAGAGCAAAACTAGAATTAGAACTCAGGGTCTTCTGCTTATTAGTCCAAAATTCTTTCCACTACATCATGTTACCTCCCTTAGGCCAATAATTCTGTATGCATGTTATATAAATTCTGATGTAACGCCTTAAAAGGTAGAATAAAATCATCTGGTTTTATTTCTATTTGGTAGGGACTATAGCGCTTTAGCCACGAGATCAAGTTTTTTTGTTTGTTGTTGTTTGTTTCTGTGTTTTGTTTTTAAAATTTTATTTTATTTATTTTTTTCCCCCCAAAGCCCCAGTAGATAGTTGCATGTCATAGCTGTACATCCTTCTAGTTGCTGTATGTGGGACGCGGCCTCAGCATGGCCGGAGAAGCGGTGCGTCGGTGCGCGCCCGGGATCCGAACCCGGGCCGCCAGCAGCGGAGCGCGTGCACTTAACCGCTAAGCCATGGGGCGGGCCCTGTGTTTTGTTTTTTACTCTTACCTACTATACCAAGTATCCTGATAAAATGGTACAGTGGGCTGTTGAGGACACAGTTGTGGTACCATGTGTTGACAACACTTTGCAGTGCTAAGTTGTAGTCTTACAAGGTGCAGGTAGAGGACATGTGAAATAGAGAGTAGAAAAAGGAAGTTATACACTGTGGCCACGTGACCGGTTGCAGAAATGAGAATAGAAATAGCTGATATCAGCACTTTGGTTTGTTGGGGTTCTTTATTTGGCATGTGACACAAACTTCTTTTTTTGGAAGATTCTGGGCCATCAGTGATCCTGCCTTAATGGGTTATAGAGCCTTCCATTAACTATTTTAACTTTACATAGGAATACTAAGAGAGATCTCCTTATAATCCCGTGAGTTCTAGATATCTCTTTCCTGGTCTCATTGTATAATAGTAACTATTTCCCTTGATAAGCAGAATAAATCATACCATCCTTACAATAAACCCTTCTTTGCCTATTGGTTCAGTGGCATGAGGAGTCCAAAATGGCCAAGTGGCAGTCTCAGCTTCTAGTTCAGTGGAATTATTGTTATATCCCCTGGTAGAGCATTGCCTCTCCCTCTCACCTCCACTTGGGAACTAGGACTCTTAAACTAAGAACCCAGTGGTGACAGGAAGCAAAAATTTTACAAGTGCACCATTAGGGGTGTTAATGAGACATCTATCCCTTGCTTCCTAGATTTGTGACCATGGGAGAAATTAGTTAATAGTTCCTGTTTCAGGGCACATACAGGATCTCGTAGAACAGAAACATAGCCCCATAAGATGTCATCCAGCTGGTGCTATAACAGAGTCTTCAGTAAGCTATTCCTTACTTCTATCAGGCTAGCTACTTCAGGGTGATAGAGAACATGATAACACCAGTGAATCCCATGGGCATAAGCCTGTTCTCTCAGTTCCTCACAATCAGTTCCTTGGTCAGCAGCAATATTTTGTAGGATACCATGATGGTGAAGAAAGCATTCAGCAAGTCCACAGATGGTGGGGCTGACAGAAGCATTTGGTACAGGGAAGCTCACATCTAGAGTAAGTTTCTCTTCCAGTGAGGGCAAACTGCTGCCCCTTCCGTGACAGAAGAGGCCAACAAAATCAGACAGCCTGGCAGGCTGCATGTAGTTCTAGCAGTATCTAGGTCAGTTATGGTGAGGGAAACCCATTTTGAAGTATTTTTTTTTTCTTCTTTACACATTTTCATATTGCATAAAATATTTTTTACTTGGAGTAGCAGGTTCTGGGGTTTGGCAGATTACATTAAATTACCTTAACTAAAAATTCTCCTGCTGTAAACACCTAGGATGCTAAAATGATCATTAACATTTTTTTTATAATGCATAGCTGAACTCACAAGAAAGACAGAAAATCCTAAGGGGCCAAAAATGAAGAAGGACTTGAGTAGCAGAGCAGTAAGTATATGAGTTGATGATATCTCTGCACTTGGGGATATTATAGTGCAGGATTCCCAAAGATAATTCATCATCAAAAGTTACAAAATAAAATACAAAAACAGTCCCTCCTTTAACAAATATTCAGTCTATAAATATTGAATTCCAGTTACATGTCAAATACTGTTCTAAGTCTGAGGATAGAGAGGTGAACTCAACAGACAAATATATGATATATAAGTGCCATGAAAAAAAAAAAGGAAACATGTTTAGGGAGATAGACAGTGACTGGTAGGTAAGGTGGTCAGGGAAAGCACCTTTGAAAAGATGACATTTGAAGAGAGGCCTGAAGAAAGTGAAGGAGCAAGTCAGGTAGTTATTTCTATGGTATTCCAAACAGGAACCAATAAAGACAAAATCCCAAGGCAGCAGCATGTTCCATATGTATGAGAAATATCAAGGAGGCTATTATAGCTAGAGCTGTAGCTCTATGTGGGAGCATATGACTATGCTACAGCAAATCAGCAAGAAAGATACTGGTAAGGGGTGAAGTAACAGAGGTAGGAGGGGGCTAGATCTTGTAGGGGCTGAAGGCCATGGATAGGACTTGAGATATTAAAGTGATGGATAAAGCCATTTGAGATTTTTGCATATTAGAGTAACATGATCTGATTTGTCTTTTAAAAGTCTCTCTGGCTGTTGTATTGAGACTAGATTGTAGGGTAGGGTAGGGTAGATGCAGGCAGACAAGTTAGGAGGCTGTGTCCAAGAATAATTCAGGCAAGAACTGATTTAGATCGGGGCATTGGACCAGTGAAAGGTGGGGAAAGATCCAGCGTAGTCTGTGAAGGAGAAGACCCCAGAGGGAAGTGTTCTGGATCCCCAAACAAAAGAGTATTCCAAGAAGAGATGATCAGCTGAGTCAGTGCCACTGATGGGTCAAGTAAGAAGACTGTGAAATGATTAGATTTGGCAATGTGCAGGCCATTGGTGACCTTCACAAGAACAGCTTAGATGGATTGATGGTGATGAAAGCCAGATTGGAGTGGATTCAAAAGAAATAGGGAGGAAAGATAAAGAATCATCAAGGGATGCTAAAACTATCAGGTAAAAGATGGCTGAGGAAGAGGATGCTCACATGGTCCCACACATTATTTATTAATCACAAAGGGGAAAATGTACCTTTTCAGTGGAAAGATCTGGTGGACACCACGGTAACCATCAACTTATCATCACTTATAATGGGGTAAGTTGACATTATTTGCCTCCTGCTGTGATGTAATGGGAAAGAAATAACATCACCTTTGTAGTATTCTTGCCATTGTATTTAATCTGAGCAAGAGGGAACAATCATATAAATCCAGATTGTGGAACATTATACAAGACATTTCAAAAATATTCAGGTTATTGAAAGACAAAAAAGGCAGGGTGACTTTTTCTAGTTTAAAGACTAAAGAGACAAATGCAATCCATGGTCTTTGATTAGACCATGGATGGGGGAAAAACAGTCACAAAGGACATTTTGGGGACAACT